ATTTTTACTTTTATATAGACATTATTATTATTTTTAATAAACATTGAGATTTAAAATATAAGTAAAACATAAAAAGCAGAAAATATATATGCAAATAAAACATAAATAATTTATATTATATTTCACTTATTCTAAAAGAACCGTCTCGCTAGTTCCTAATAGCTCATTTCATCCAAGTCAATAAATATTGATGCGTTCGAACAACTACGTCTAAGGGGTATTCCTCTTTTTATCTGTTTTTGTCTTTCGATTCTCTATTTTATACAACAATATAATGAAACATATAGCTAGATCAAAAAGAAGGACATCAATGGCAAGGGCCCAAAAAATGATCAAAAAAAATATTTTGGTTCTTCCTCTTCTACAACAATATGTACATTTTTTTGAGTTTAAATGATCCAAGTAAACAATTTTTAAAAGTTTGATGATTTATTAATTAAAAAATGTATGCAAGGATGATTTTTTTATTAACTTTGTGAATTGCATGATATTAATTTTTTTATATTATTTTAWTCATAATCTTTTAATTACATTATTTTAAGAATATTAAAATAACCCAAGAAATTTGAAATACTGCTTTTTGTAAAAGTGATTACATTTTTCAAGTCATTTTATAAAAATAACTTTTAAATTATACTATTTAAAAAAAGTTAAAATAATCAATTTCCAAAAAAACTTAATCATTTAATTATTAAAAAAAATGCAACAACTTAATCATTTAACATAAAAAGAGTTTAACAACTTATTCAAAAAAAAAAAAATTAAAGAACTTAATAATTCAAAATGGAATAATTTTTTTAATTTTTTGAACCTTTTTCTTATTTAAATTCAATACATATGGTTTTTATAAATATCTCATCCATTAAAGTAACTAATTATTTATAAAAATTAACTTTTGGATTAAATTATTTTAGGTCTTTTTAAAATAATTATGATGAAACTTTAATACTAATACATATATGTAATATAATAGTGTATATATATATATATATATATATATATATATATATATATAGGATTGGGTTCACGTGAGACTAAAGGTTTTTCGTGAGACCCGTAAGACCAATTTTATGTTCATTGATCAACTTTAAAAGCTAATGATATAGTGGTCTAAAATTGCGCGGTTGCAATTTTGTGATTATTGAGAAATCTCGTGGCATTTATGAATGTTCAAATTGTTAGATTGTAAATATAATCCAATGGTTGATAATTGGTTTTACGGGTCTCAAGAAAAACTATTGGTCTTACATGATTCCAAGTCTCTCTCTCTCTCTCTCTCTATATATATATATATATATATATATATATATATACTAGTTGTGTACCCGCACAATGCAACGGGAGCCATGAATTTTAACGATTTTGAAGTTGCACTGGTTTTATAAGATAAGATTTAACGATGATATATGTTACACTTGGTCTTTACATATTAATACAATTTGAATAAATAAGAGTTATGGTTCCAATCACAGACTATCGATGAAAAAAATTGTATGACAGTTTAAAATTCAATATATTTAAAATCCAACATATTTAAACGACTCCACAAATGTGTTCGATTTACACCAATAGCAAAGAACCAAAAAACTTGAGTTTTAAGATAAACACTCAAAACCAGTAAAGAAAACTACAAATTTGACAGATCATAAGCCATGAAAAGACAAAAAAAGATGGGTTTTAGAATGAAATTTCAACTGCTTACCCTCTTTTTTGTCCAAAAACTCATATTAAGGTTGAATTAATACATGTATATATATATATATATATATTTCAAAAAAACCCAAGAACATATTAATTCAGAACATATTATACAGTGATATTTGGACAGTCTAACCCCAAAATATGTAGTATATAAATAAATAATTATAAAAGTATAAATCATAAATATTAAAAATATGTTTTCACATTATATATAATAATATAATTAAGTCAAAAACTATTCAATATTGGACTCATTTCAAATGTATTAACGAGACTATTATAATAGTGTAACTTGTTAAAATAAAAATGTATTTTTTAAACATGTTTTAATTGATATACGATTATGTATGTTAATTTGATAACGGTTTAAAATAAAACATTTAAAAGTAAATGACGTAAAGTAAATTATTTAACTAATTATAAGGGTATAAAGTGTAAATTTAAAATTATAATTTAAAAAAAAAAAAGATGAGTGTATGTGAGGGGGTGAATGTATGTGAGTAGAGGAGGGGGTGAAAAAGTGAAAAAGTGAAAAAAATGAAGTAATATAGATAAGGGTATCTTGGTCATTTAATATTTTAAGACTTTAAAACTTTTGCTAAATTTG